TGGTCCGCCCCTAAGTAATAAAAGTTTTGTTATAACTAGGGGTCTTAAAATAAAAGCCCAAAAGGGTTTCTAAAAGATCTCTAGCCCTACGTATAGATTATAAAAATGTAAATAGTTAAATTTTATTGTACTTTGGAAAATTGGGCAAAAATAAATAAATAAAAAAAACTAAAAAAAACTAGTCATGTTGGTTTGCGAACTTATTTTCAAACTTTCTGATTTTACGGGTATTACGCAGAAAAAAGTACCAAAAATAAGGAATTTTATTTGTTGTTTATCCCGAAAATATGAAAATATCCATTTTTCGTTTTTATATAACCATTGAGAATAAAACTAATATATATATATATATTCACAACAGTAAAAATATTTATATTTAGTATATAACATGAACAATATTGTTGAGCCTGTATTAGGTGTAACAATATTGTTCAATATTGTTGACAACTGTGAACAGAGTGGTTAGGGGCCGACCATTTAACTTTTGAGGGAGGGGGGGGGGTGATTTACTGCTGGCATGGAATTTTTTTTCTGGGATCGTTATGTGCAAGATATTTTTTTTATCACCATCACCATGTACGATTTTTTTTGCCACACTTTCTTTCGCAGCATTTTTTTTCAATAGCTTATACTATTTAGATTATAGTTAACGTTGAGTTTTTTAGCTTCATGCATTGCTCTTAATAATACATTTTGCTACGAGGTATAACATTTGGTTCAGTGCCTTTTTTAAGGATGTGCAACTGGAGAGGACATAATTAGCGGGGGACCTGGAGAAGTTCCAGTCGGCAAGTCTGTATCCAGGGCCGTAGCTAGCATGTATAGTTGGGGGGGGGGGGTGTAGGCCAAAAATTTCCGAATGACGAAAATAATTTCCGAATATATCATGGCATACTATTAGCCATGAAGGTGTTTGCTACTCGGAAAATGAAGACGCAATTTACAATTAACAAAAATATGCATAATTTACGCAGACATATTACAGAAGCAGTGCGGTAGGGAGCTTTTGTTTATTGGGGGCAGAAAACGAGGGCCGGAGGCCCGAGGAAATTTTTAAATTTCAAGTCTCTGAAATGCCATTTCCTGGACTTTGGGGAAGTTTTGACAGAATGCTGATGGTCAGAAAAAAGCGTTTTAATATGACGAAATTTACCATTTGCTTACAATTTATAGTGACAATACATTTTTATAATATTTTCTCTGTTTAACAACTAAAATTTTGTTCTACTATTAAATAATTGCCGTAATTTTCCGAATGGCCAACCCGATTTTCTGAATATGTTGATTCTAAAAAAGTTGGGGGGGGGGGTTAACCACCCCCAATACCCGCCTTGCTACAGCCCTGTCTGTATCACTGCAGCTACCTACAGCATATATATGCATGGTTTAACTAATAAGTATACGTCATAGGGCAGCAACAACTGAGTCGACCACCGAAGATAAGCTATTTCCAGCATTTTGAGGAGTTTTCCAACAAGAAATTAACCTGATCTTCTGGGACTGGTCAAATCGATCCCTGCAACCATGCTGTTTTGCAACATTTTTTTTCCCACTAAATACTGGGGCAGGATATTTTTTTCCCCAGTTTGTTAGTGCAGGTATTTTTTTTGTCCAGAATAGCCTTGCAGGAAATTTTTTTTCGAAATCACCTCCCCCCCCCTCAAAAGTTAAATAGTCGGCCCCTTATAGACTATTTTCCAATAGACTATTTTCTATTCTGTGGCGTGGGCAGCAAAACATTGTCGCGCTTTTCACATGAGATGACCATAGAAATAAAAGACATGTCTATTATTTCTATGGAGATGACTGAGATATCATTTCGCCTGTGACGTCAAACTTGCCAAATGCTGGCCCAAAATTGACTAAAACCTGCCAAAGCCAGCTGCATAATTATGCTAATATATTTCGTGACTGCGTGTCATGGAATTATAATTTACTGAACCAAGGTGGCAACAATATGGCTGGCAAATGTTGTCCAAAATGCAAAATTGGCCCTTCAATACTCAACGCCGATCTTTCATGTTTGGCAAATGAATGTCAAAAATTGCTCGAGTGTGGCTCAGACTACTTGCACTTGGATGTAATGGACGGGTGAGTACTGTGATATAATAATTTTGTTCATTTTTCTCAAGCCGTACGTGTTTGCCAATAAAATACTATATCAAAGAGTTTGTCATTCCTCCAGTGAAAGAATTTAAGTTACTGGGTGCAAGAGTGGTTTTAGTAATATAGCTGTTTGTCACTAAATTTGAAACCCTTTTGCAAAATGTGTTTTAATTGTGTTATATGCATCAAGTGATTCCACAGGATTGGACGTTGGACCATTCCATTTAGGGGACCATATTGGGCCATTCATTTAATATAGGCACCCCCCCCCTATTAAGGGGTCCCTTCATAATCCCCTTAGGATATAAAAAATTTAGAACCCCCTTGGATGCGATTTTTGGAAGTTATGTATCGATCAATTCGAAACTTCACCATGCCCCCCCCCCCCGGGCATACCACGGGAATTTGACTTCAAGTCTTCTCCAGGGAGTAGGGAATTTGACGTTCTAGGTTTTCCATGTGGTGGGGCATTTGATAACGTGGTGGGGCATTTGATAACGGGGTGGGGAATTTGAACCGGAAGTCTTAAAATTTTGCCCATTTTCGCGTGCTTCCTGCATGCACACTGAAATACTTCGCATTGGCGGCAAATACAGATTTCGAGGGAAACGGCCTCAATTTTGTGAAAAACTGGCTCAAAGAAACGGGCATGGAAAATCTATGTGCTTCATTTGAAGGTATGTACTACATAATTGTGTAAAACTGTTAAATTTCCACAAGGTATCCAAACTTTTTACATGAATTTCGCTATCTTGTCGAAAAACATTTCCGTATATTTTGTACTTTTTGTATTTACTGTTTCATAATTTTCATATGAAGGTGGGGCATTTCAACGCTTAATTTCTTGTTGCAGTGGGGCATTTGAAGACATTTTTTGCACAGGGGTGGAGAATTTGATCGGTCAAATTTCAAAAAGTTCAAATTCCCGGGGTCGGCCCGGGGGGGGGATGGTGAAGTTTTGAATTGATCGATACATTACCCCATGGATATCATTTTTTACCCCCTTGGATATCACTAAAACACCTAATTTAATTATTGCTATTTTTTTGAAAATTTCTTAAGCTACCCTGTAGGAAAATTTAAGGTAACCCCCCCCCCCATAGGATATCCAGACCCCTCAATAGGGGGGGGGTGCCTATATTAGATGGAATGGCCCATTCATGTTGCCACACATAACGTCAAATCGACGTTATCACCAGTACCCGCCCACCCACCTCAGATAACATCGATCGTTACCCTGTTGTATTTTGACCGCTTATTCTTATAAAATATGGTATATAATCAATCAATTTATCTCAGAAATGCATTAAAATGCTGAGGCTTCAATTCAAAGTTATTGACTATTGTACTTGCCTTTATAAAATATGTGAAGTTTTATTGCAGAAAAATGTCGCGATTCACGAACACAAATTGATGGGTACTTGAAACACGAAAAAAAGGCTCTTCAGTACTTTGACCTTTGTTTTGAACTCTATTAGTTCAAAATAATATAATACTGGCAAAAGTTGCACGGCAAACTTAAACTTCGGTCTGTTCGGATGTAAATAGTCAAATTGCCACAAGATAAGTGAGATCATAACGTTGAGGAGTTGACGTAAAAACCCACCCACCCATACCACTATATCATCATTTGAAATTATTTGATTTTTGTCGAAACAATTTTGGTCAAATTGCCCACAGGGCAGGTAAAAAACTGTTGTCAATAGCCTTGTCTAGATGAAGTTTCTTAAATTTAAACATAAATTATAAAGTCGATCACCAATTACTAAATACCTTTTGATCCAAAAAACCCAACTAAACAAGAGAAGCAATAACAGCTTTTCAAACCTCCATGCCTCGGTATCCTGTTCCAAACTTGTCACAAAGGCATTCTATTAACACACTGAGCGCCATGCAGCGCACTCCCTTTGACAAGTAAAATTCTCTGGCATTAGACAAAGTAAAATATAATAAAGCAGGGTGCATAATTAGAGAGCAATATATTATGCATCTTAATGGCTTCTATTTTAATTTATATACTCTACATGCAATAAATTTACATATTACATACCAAGATTGGATGCTTACACTCGCCCCAAAAAGATGCATGCTTCAAGTATTTGTGTGAAATAAATTTGGGAAATCAATGAAAAATCTACATTCTCAGCCTCATCTGATTTTGTGAATCACTCAGACATTGTTGTCAGCAAGATGTCCATTTCCCAACGTTAGGAATGTATGTAGTCGCATTTTTCAATGTTTTGGAAAATAAAACGTGGCTTAATTGCTGGCAAGAGGAAGCATTGGGTTTTGATCGATAATAATATTTTCACATGGAGATGTCATTTATAACATAAGTCTATATTACAATATTCTTACTGCAACCACTGACTAACTTTGTGCATGCAACCATGGAGTTAAAGATGTGGTACAGTCCGATCTGCGCATGTGCACAAAGGAGCCCTCTTTTTATTACAAACAGTTTATTTAGGTTTTTATTTCATTTTATGTTCTTGCAAAGCTTGATTGTTGTCTCTTGATAATTTATTAAACTCTAGAGTCATGAAAATATAAATAGTTGTCGAATAAAATTCAATACTTTGGATACCGAAATGTAAACAAAGCCTTTGCTTACATACAGACTGTACCGCATCTTTAAGTGTATGCAACCTAGATGTGGAATTACATGTAATCCAGACTCTAGCTAGTACATAAAATCTTGGGGATTCCCCTGGGAAGGTTGGATTTGGAATTGACTCGTATATTAATCCAAGAAGATTTTATGCCATTTTTAGTCATTTTGTCCCAAACTTGACTTTTGGTGCACCGTTGGTTAAATGCCTGAGAAAGAAAATTCCAAATGCATTCTTTGGTAGGTAAAGTTCTACATTATATTTGATTAATCATACTGCATGTAGAATACCTTGTGTACCAGGCCTTGAAATAATTAGTGACGATCACCGGTCATTGTCCGGTAATATTTTTCATTTTGACACGTCTTTTACCGGACACACATGACCGGCGAGTTTTTCTAATGTAAAAATGCATTCCTGAGAAAATTTTTGTTTCCCACAAGTTTGTGTATACTTTGGAGAAAAGCAGAAGTCTCGCCTGTCAATGGACCATTTGCATTATAGACTAAATTTTGATCTAGACAAAAATTTCATCACAGCTTGAAAGAGCATCACAAAATTAGTAATATTCCAAAGTTTCGTTGCAAAATGTTGTAAAATGCGGATAATATAGCCTTGCGAAGTTTGCCGTTTTTCAGTCATTTTAGATTACAAACGGGAAATTGACAGCCCAATCGGGTGTTGGGGCATCAATTTCCCGTTTGTAATACAAAATGAATGAAAAAACGGCAAACTTCGCAAGGCTATATTCAGTGTCGCCCAGAGGGGGGGGGGGGGGGGGGGGGGGGGGGGGCAAAGGGGGCAAATTGCCCCGGGCCCCGAGTTGCTGGGGGCCTCTGAAAATTTTTTGTAGGGCCCCAGCCTTTTTTGTGTGTTAAATATTTCCGCGCAAAGGACAAGACATCTGTTTTCTTGGGCTAAGTACCGAATTTTGTTATCCGGAAAAATTTTTTTTAGATAGGGGCCCCTAAAAAAAAATTTGCCCCGGGCCCCCGCCAACCTCTGGGCGGCCTTGGCTATATTATCCGCATTTTACAACATTTCGCAACGAAACTTTGGAATATTACTAATTAATTTTGTGATGCTCTTTCAAGCTGTGATGAAATTTTTGTCTACATCAAAATTTAGTCTATAATGCAAATTGGCCATTCACCGCAGGCATTGCACCTATAAAAGCCTACGCTCGCAACTCAAACTATACATTTGTCATCAAATGATTCTAAATCTGAGAGTTTTTATCTGCATTGTTTGCATGTTGACATTGTTATATATAGATCTTTTTGTTTTGTCTGTTTGTAAATCTTTTCTCGATCTAGCCTGCGAACAGGCTCTCAAGCTGAATTGAGAGCCTGCATCGATGACTAATGAATTTGAATATCTGCCCCGTAACGTTCGTTTTTCCAAATATGGAATGTCTATCCTTATATGGTGTTGTTTACAACTTTCGTGCAAACTAAATTTAGACCGTGCAAACTAAATTTAGACCGTACAGTTTATACTGTTTTTCGAAATATAAGATATTCAAGCAAAAGTTCAAATGTTTTAAATACTGTTTTCTCAAAACAGAACATTTCGTGCTTTGAGATAAGACGGCCAAGACCAATTTGATCAGTTAATGTGTTTTTTATGCATAGTGCTTCAGCAGTTGACATATATAGAGCTCAGCGGAAATAGCATCTGACCAATGAGAATTTCGCGTCACGATTTGAGACGCAGATATTCAAATTCATTAGTCATCGATGCAGGCTCTCAATTCAGCTTGAGAGCCTGTTCGCAGGCTATTCTCGATCATAATTCTCGCCAATAAAATGGGCATTTTATTCAGAATTCAAGATATTCAGATTATCTGTAATCATACCTGCACAAGTTCACTTAAAGTCAAAAGATGACCGGCAAAATTAAAAATCATGGTCATGAAGACCGGTATACCTTCCAGATTTATTTTGAGGCCTGTTGTGTACGTACTATTCTATTAATTAGTGACCTAAGAAAATGAGTACATCATTAGAATGGCAACCAAAGTACAGGACTGGTGCTGTGTGCATTACCGGTACCTAGCTTGCTTATGATTAAGATACAATACAGACAGCTTTTATTAGATATATTCTTCGAACTTTACCTAGCAGCATTGCATGAGTACAGTAACAGTTGCCATTGAGTGGCAGCACTCTCCCCTTGACGAATAGGATAATTGTATGGTGTTAGACAGCTGGGGCCAGTTGTTCAAAGGTGGGTTAATGCTAACCCTGGGTTAAATTTAACCCGCTGTTTTAGTTTGTGTACTTCTACACATCAGTGTATTTCAAAACTTCAGAGAAGTAAACTCCTATTGATCCAGGACAAGATCTCTGAAGAAATATTTCCAAATTTATAGAAAAGCTGTCAGGATGTTTGCTTTGAATTTTAGGTTAACCTAGGGTTAAACTAACCCAGCTTTGAACAACCGGCCCTAGAGTATAAAATGACTATAAATAGTTAGCATAGGTGCATTGCCTCTTAAAGGGGTTATATACTTATATTACTTTATTAATTGGAAAGTTTATGCATCTCGATCAGGTGCAGTCAGCAGAAAAGTTAAAAATCTAATTGTGGGTGCACAAAACAGTCACCTTCTAACTATGCATCAACAGGCAGTTAAGGGTACAAAAGTACTATAGTTAGTATTATGAAATATATTAGATGAACTGAAAAATCCTAAAAAAAACCTGGAAAACAAATTAGTATGCAGTGTAGCTCTCAGCATGCATTACCCGAAATGCAGTGTAGCTCTCAGCTTGCAAATAAGGATGATTAGCACACCCTCACTTCATCATAATTTGTGACACCCCTCGATCATATATAATTATATATGTCACTGAAAAAGTGCAAGTACATTTATAGATCCATGCAGCCTTGTCTCAAGTGCTGTTTATACTAGTTTAGGATTCCAAAGGAATCTGGCATAATCGGTGAGACATGGGGACATACTGTACATGTAAGACCAGGGCAGGGTAGAACAGTATGGCAATGTGTCATGTGATAAAACTTGCATGAATTGATATACATACAGTTTGTGCTCATGCACACCTTAATTGGCTGTAACAGAAATGATTAAGCGCTTGAAAGAATTTCTTGAATGGTTCAACAAGGGGATCGAATTAACGTGTCAAAAACTCCACAGCTCTGACGAACATGAACATCAGAACAAAGGATGTAAAGCTTGAAAATAAAAGAGAAAAGTAGCCACCAACGAATAACCAAACGAAGGGATGCCTGATTCAAAGCTTCATAAATACACATGCATGCATGAGTTGTTAAAAGGTTTGAATCCAGGTTCATTCATTTTGTTTGTTTTATTTGTTCTTCTGGATTATTACAAAATTAAATAACTGACGATAATTATTATTTACTAAATAATCAATTTAAGCAAATTAGCTATAAATTGCGGTTAATGGAGTAATATGTTCTAGTAGACTCTATCTGCCCGAGGGTGTTTTCAGTATATGCCAACACATCTGCGTCACAAAAATTAATCCGTACAAGATCCAAGTACCTTGGTCGAACAAAGGAACCGTTTTCTAGTCCTGTTAATATCACAAAATATCAGATAAAAATCGAACTTATAGGCTACTAAGCATGTGCACAACTGATGCAAACTTGGGATTAACCAAGCAGAAATTATACGTGCATATATATACATACAATGCCCCCCTTTTTGCGCAAGGACTTTTGATCGCAGTTCGACGTGCACTGTTCATTCGCAAGACTTTAACCAGTGCGTTAACATCTCTGGCAAAATTTGTGGCTATCAAAACCTTGCATGGCAAAGAAGTGAAAATTTAAAAAACCCACCCACCTCCCAATAATCATGCACCAATCTGCGTCGATCTCTACAATATGGCGTGTTGTAAGGACTGTTAATTAGTAAAATGGACATTCCTGTATATAGCTAGGCATGTTACTCATAGATTTGTAACCCACTTGTGTGAAGTAATGCAATAAATAATTAATTACTGGTAGAAAATATATGCCCAAAATATATGCCACAAAAATGTGTTTCAAGTTTAATATTGTTGTCTTGCTTAGTTGCCAGTTGTTCGATTTTAACTATCTGTCTCTTTCCAACATATGCAACTTCATTAATAATTTAATAGCTGACGCAAGATAAACATCAACGGATAAAATGAACAAACGTTCAAGTCTTTGAAAATGGTTTTACACAAAAACGTTAGACAAAACTTATTTAATTTTGTAATAATCTAGAAGAACAAATAAAACAAACAAATGGACCATTTGCATTATAGACTAAATTTTGATCTAGACAAAAAATTCATCACAGCTTGAAAGAGCATCATAAAATTAGTAATATTCCAAAGTTTCGTTGCGAAATGTTGTAAAATGCGGATAATATAGCCTTGCGAAATTTGCAATTTTCAGTCATTTTGTATTACGCACGGGAAATTGACAGCCCAATCGGGTGTTGGAATATTGCTAATTTTGTGATGCTCTTTCAAGCTGTGATGAAATTTTTGTCTAGATCAAAATTTAGTCTATAATGCAAATGGTCCATTGCATGCATGATGTTTTCCACAAAACAAATTTATTATGAACATCTGCGATAAACATGTAATACTGCAACTACTGTGAGACATTAATTTTCTAAACTTCTTGTAGATATGCATATGATGGTGGCAAAACCAGAACAGGTACAAAAAAATGTTCATTGATATATATGTGCTCAAAATAATAATACATTATAAAATTTACCAAATTGATCTTCGTTGTTTGTTTGTAATTCTAATTTCATTCAACATATGATTGAGAATGATGGAGTCTTTATTTAAAGTGCATATACGACGTGAAATTTCTTATTTTCTTAAATGAAAGAACTCTTTAAGTTGTAGTGTAATTTATTTTTCAGTTTCTTGTTTTTATGGTTTGTTCCCGAGATATTTCATTTTGTTTGATATGTAAATGATGTGAATATGTCCGCTAATTTATGACGTCACGTTGGTTGCAAGCTCAACTTACACTGATTTTAAATGTATTAACTCTAAAAACGGTTGATATCAGTTCACGTTTTTCTCCAGTCATCACATTTACCAGTGAAGTTTGAAATTATCATCTTGGATAATAGCAGTGATATTCAAGCATTTTGAAGAGCTTGCAACCAACATGACGTCATAAATTAGCGGACATATTCACACTCATTTACATATCAAACAAATTGAAATATCTCGGGAACAAACCATAAAAACAAGAACCTGAAAAATAAGTTACACTACAACTTAAAGAGTTCTTTCATTTAAGAAAATAAGAAATTTCATGTCATATGCACTTTAAGGAGGGCAGCACATAGTAGCACAGGTGTCAAATGTTGGAATCTGCGGTAACCCTGCACGGTTACCTGCATGCAGATGACTTGAGCTAACTGTATACCTGGGTCAGAAGATCCTGGGCACACTAGCATATTAGAAATTTCCCAGTACCTTTTGCAAATGTTTATACACTTGCAAGAACGTCGTTAATAGTTGCATGTCCTTTTTTTACGAAAAAATTAAGATCTGAGTTACGTTTTCCCTATAATCAAACTGATAAACCTTCTGAGATGTATAAATTTCTCAAAAAAATTTCCTCCGATCTCCATCCTATAGTTCATTAACTGCAAATTAGTTTCGGCCACCTGTAAAAAAGTAAATGTACTTTTTACTAAAAACTAACAAACCTGTGGCCCTCAATTTACAATATACAAATAGGGATACAGTTAAATACTTGCAGTAAAACATAATATGTGATGATTTATGGGGTCGCCGTAATTGGGGGAAACCTGTGGCGAACTCCCTGGCGCTATATTAGCCGTATCTCATTAAATCATAATCCCTTTCTTCTTCGCTGGGTTATAATGGTCACGTTGTATTATAGCAGCTGATACTGTATATAATTTCCCTTACAATGTGTGTTTTTTCTTTAGTGGGTAAAAGACATGGCGGACGCTGGAGCTGATCAGTACACATTTCATTTGGAAGCTACAGGTAATTAAAAAAACTTAATTGTAATAGGCTGAAAGTGTAAGATCTATATGTTTGTTTGATTATTTGCATGCAGAAGAGAAGGAAATACTGTACTTGTCCTATATATTTTATTTACTTTTGATGGATTTTGAATGAAGGTCATGGTTTTGAAAGACATGTTTTCTAGTGATTGACCAATAATTGATATCGGCATCGGGCCGATTTTTGCCTTATCGGCAGACAATCGGAATCGGTAGAATTATGTATATTTTCGATAGTCTAAAACCGATTGTTTAAAAAATACGCACTTTAAAAATTATATGCATTGCACGCGTTGATATGTTAAATTAATGCGTGAAGTGTGCCATTTATTAACGGTTTTAACGATCTTTGGTTGCAGTAACATGTTACGTTGGGAATTATCGTTAAAAATCGACATGAATGACGTCACATTTACTCAGTCGACTGATATTATGACGTCATTATAAAATCAGTATCGGGTAGATTGTGACATGAATAATCGGTAATCGGTCAATCACTAATGTTTTCGTCTGATTTACTCTTTCAAATCACTCTGCGATATGTGAAAGTTACAAAATTGTGAAAACGTGTCATTGGTATACATAATGATTTTTAAAACGTCTTACAAAATACAAATAATGTTGGCGATTTACTGTATATTGATTTTGTTGTAGTCACAGCCTCTGTTCACTGCAGAGTTTGTTTGAAAGAGTAAATCAAGTAAAAACATGTTTTTCAAAACCACAAACGTATCAAACTCTAGCAGTCTAGGCAAAATTTAGCTGCTAAACCTACAGCTCGTAAACTTTAAAACACGTTTGTCAATAAATTGTAGATAAACCTTTGGAATTAATTCAAATGATTAAGGATGCAGGAATGAAGGTATGCAAGAATGGATATAGTTTGGGGTCTAAAATTATTTTCAAAAGTAAACCTTCGAGTGCAGGAGAGTTTAAAAACCACTTCAAAATGGCTTACGCACAAAAATGGAAGGCTTAAAACGCATCGATCAAACAAGAACAAGCGTTCTATGAGAGTTGACTGCATGGGCGTACGGGAAGGAAAAAATTAGGGGGGCGGAAAGAAATTTGCCCGACTTTTTCGGATTGTGTCCGAGTTGTCAAAAAAATTTTCCGGAGAAACTTTCCAAAATTGTTGTCGACGGGGGGGGGGGG